GAGTGAGAGAGAGATAGACAGAAAAAGAGATAGAGAGCGAATGAGAAAGAGAGAGATAGATGGAGAGACAGAAAAAGAGAGAGAAACAAGAGATGAGCGAGAGATAGACAAAAAAAGAGAGAAATAGAGTGAAAAGAGATGAGCGAGAGAGAGACACAGAAAAATAGAGAGACAGAGAGAGAAGAGAAATGGGCGAGAGAGATAGAAAGATAAGAGAGAGAGACATAGAGAGAAGAGATATGAGCGAGAGAGACAGGGAGAGAAAATAGATGAGAGAGATAGAGAGAAGAGAGATAGGCGAGAGACACAGAGAGAAAATGAGAGAGAGAAACAGACAGACAGACAGATAGACAGACGGAGAAAGAAGAGTGATGAGTGAAAGAGATAAAGAGAAGAGAGAGAGAGATAGAGACAGAGAGACAGGAAGATGAAAAAATGAATGAAAAGAGAAATGTTATATCAAAAGAGTAAAACGACATTATTTTTTTTAATTTTTTTTGCGACAGAAAAATACCGTTGAATTTATTCAAACCATTTTGTGATTGTATATATATGAAGCTATCTTAAAACCACAATCACTATGCTAAATTAGAGTTTTCCAAAAACTCTTTTGAGAAAATTATACTTTATTGTTTTCCGTATTATATTGTTTTTACTGAATTTTTTTAATATTTGAAGTATTTTTTTTTAATTTTTAGACACACCTAACATAAATACACCTAAAAATTAAAAAAGTTGTAAAAAAAATCTTTTAAAAGTTCACTAAATACTAAAAATACAATAATTCAATACATTTTTTTTGTATTTTTATGTATTTATTAATTTTTAAAAATATTTTTTCATAATTTTTTTTAGATACATTTAAGTAAGGTGCATCTAAAAAAAATATTTAAAATTTAAAAAATATTAGCTAAAAAAAAAAAAAACACGAAAGTCACTTTTTGCGACGGCAGAAAATGCCATCTCAAAAAAGCAGAGTATTTGCGACGGCACCATTTGCTGTCTCAAAAAAGTAGAGCATTTGCGACGGCACTATATGCCGTCTCTAAAAATGAGAGCATTTGCGACGGTAAATGCTCTCATTTTTTGAGACAGCAAATAGTGCCGTCGCAAATGCTCTACTTTTTTGAAACAGCAAATGGTGTCGTCGCAAATACTCTGCTTTTTTGAGGCAGCAAATGGTGCCATAAAAAATACTCTGTTTTTTTGAGACGGCATTTTCTGCCTTCGCAAAAAGTGAATTTTTGAGATAGCAAGTATGCCGTCGCAAATAGTTCTGTCTCATAAACCCACTTTTCTTGTAGTGACAACTTAATCATCAACATATCACCTTTCATAAAATATTATGAATATAACACTTTTAGAGTTTTTAATCCCAAAATAACTCTATAATCCCAACTCAACAATTTACACAATATTCCTCAATACCAATTTATTTTTCTCAAAAATAAATTCCAAAATCAAAGATGAAAAAATATTTCAACTTTATATTTCTCAAAATAAATCATCTAATCATAATATGATATAGATACAAGGTGATTTTCGGATTTTTAGCAATCCATACAACTATTAAAGTTTAATTTTCAAATTTTTAGCGAAAAAATTTCAACACAATGTGATTTTCCCAAATCAATCTCAAAATATGAATATTCTTAATATTTCAACATAATTTTTCTTTCAAAAATTACCTAACAAAAATATGAATATATATATATATATATATATGCAATACCTCCTATAATGACATTTTTCTCAAAATAACCCTATTATAGCTTTAAAGTAACAATATGAAGAAAGTCCCTACCTCAAATAATGAAAATGAGCAAATTTGAAAAGCAAACTTCGCCCGATCATAAATCCGAGACTACCATTACGAAGATCACGACGAACTCTCCGACTTTCATTTACAAAACTTTTGCAAAATCTCACTCTAAAGACTCTCATTTCAAGCTCAAAGATTGAGCAACAATAGAGAACAAGGGAAGAGAGAGAGAGAGAGAGAGAGAGAGCTGAGCTCTCTGCTCAAGGAAAAGAAAAAGAGCAAATGAAGAAGAAAAGAAGGGAGAAGGGCGTAGGGGGAACAACCCCATGTGGGTTCATTTTCCTAGAATTGGTTTCCCCAAAAGAAAAATAATTTTTGTAATAATATCTCAAAATTTTATAATATAAATTATAAAACAATATAATTTTTTTCACCACAAAATATAACATTTTTGTACACCATAAAATGTAATCTTTTGCTCACTATGAAATATACACCCATTTTATTCAAATAAAAATATATAATTTGTCACCATATGGTACACACTATAAAATCAACTATCAAATATTTATTATAATCCTATATAATAAATAATAACAACTCCCAAGGTGGTTACTACCAATCACATAATTAAAAAGGACCAAATAGTTAACATGAGTCATAAACAAGTTCAAATTAAATTAAATCTAAATCATGGATCTTGAATTAAATTCTGACTCATAAACCAAACATCACCCAATTATATATCAAAATAGACCTAACAAATTTATCTCAAATCATGGTTCAAACACCCAAAACTCAATTTAAAATTCTGCTATAAATTAAACTTAATCAGTCTGCAAATTTTCAGGAAATAAATACTCGCCATTAAATTCTGAAATTTTTATCCAACATGCTAGACTCTTATAAGAACAACATAACAAAAATTTCATAATTTCTGAGATCGAAAATTATATTTTTTTTAAAAAAAAAATTATTACAAAATTAAGCCATTTTCGCGCATAACTTTACACAACACTCCAATCCAAATATTACTCAATTAATTTATGCACTAACAATTTAAAAAAATATTTTGGGTCATTACAACGCTTGTGCCACAATTCGGTAAAAGTATCATCCTCAAGTGTATTGATAATACATTTACAAATTTTTTCTTTCATTGAATAAAGTGTGTGAGTCTTCTTGTAGTTAGCCACCACCAAAGAACACCCTTTGTGAGTTTCCATTTTCCATCACCAAATTTGTTGTTGTAGCCTTCATCATCTAGTTTCCCGATAGAAATCAAATTGTGGCGAATGTTGGGAACATACCTCACATCTTTAAGAAACAACTTACAACCCAAATTTGTTTCTAAGCAAATATCACCCATGCCAACAATCTTGGACAAACCTTCATTACTCATTCGAACACAACGATAATCTCCTTTGGTGTAGGACGTAAAGAAATCAACTCGAGAAGTCACATAAACAGAAACACCAAGATCAATCACCCAATTGCTCTCTTGGGCCATAAAATTGACACAATCATCTTCACAAACAACTATGAGATCACCATCGATAGTAACTGTCGTTTTGTCTTCTTACTTCTTATCCACACTTTTGTCACGCTTTTTCTCCTTGTTCTTAAGCTTTCGGCATTCTCGCTTCATGTGCCCTTTCTCAATGTCTTTCTTTGAAAAAGAACCATCTTTCTTTGAAAAAGAACCATCTCTTGATTTGTCACGGCTTTAATCACAACCATGAGAAGTCTTACTTCTTCCCTTTTTTTGTTTCGGCCTCTCACAACAAATGCCTCTGAATGAGAAGAACCGCTAATTTTCTTCTTGTCTCTTCATTCAACAAGCCACTAGTGACTTGGCTCATTGTGACAACTCTATCAAGTGCCGAATTACTAACTATCACGACCAAAGTCTCCAAACTTTCAAACAATGAACTAAGAAGTATCAAAGCCTGCAACTCATCATCAAAAACAATTTTCATAGAAGAAAGTTGGTTAACAATACTCTTTATTTTATTCAAATGTTCCGGAATGGGGTTACCATTTTTATATTTTAAATTAACTAACTTTTGAAACATAAAAACTTTATTTGTGACTGATTTTCTATCATAAAGACTTTTTAATTTTTTTTCATAAATCATGTGTCGAAATTTCAGTAGCAACATTATGAAACACACTATCATCAATCCATTGACGGATAACACTAATGACCTTTTGATTAAGTCTCTTCCATTCATCATCTTTCATACCCTCGGGTTCGCCACTAGCTTCCTTAATAGGCCCACATAAATCTTTACAAAATAATAAGTTTTCTATTTTAGTTTCCCAAGTTACCCAATTGCTTCCATTGAAACTAAACATACGACCTACATTCCCATCCATTGATTTACACAAATAAATAAACTCATATAAAAAGTACGCACTAATACCAGTTATTAGGGAAAATAGATGTCTACTAGTAAATCAATCAATGCAAATAAAAACTAATGCGGAAAAAATTAAATCAATGATACAAGAGTTTTTACGTGGTTCCTTCAATGTGAGGTACGTCCACGGAACCAAAATCCGATTTCACTATCAACCAATAGTTTTCAAACAATTACAAACGAGACACGAATAGTCTCACAAACCACCCTTAGGTGAATTCCAAATAATCAAGAGGAAAGATCTCGCCAAACAGATAAACAAAAGTTTTCGAAATAGAGTTGAAGATGATCCAAAATAACGAACCAAACAATGCTTCGAAGCAAAATAGCACCAAACAAAGCACAAAGCTTTGTACCAATAGCACCAAAGCAACACTTAGGGAATCAATTCGACGACGCCCTTTTCAAAAAAGCAAAGACAATCCCAAAACAATATTGTTAACTCTTGGGCTTTTTATCAAAATCCTAGCTGCCACCAAACAGAATTTTAAATACTCATTGGGCCTCCAAAAGCAAAATATAATATATAAAAATATATTATAACCAACACCAAATCAAATTAAATATTTTAATAAATTAATTGGATCTCATACTCCAGTAAAGAGCTATACCCAATAGGTTCCTTACTATGGATTGGATTAAATCAAGCCGGCAACCGGTTATCCTAGGACCTAGGCCCATGAATGTCGTGATGATACCTCAGAGTATCCTGTTTATTTTTGTTAAAAAAAAAATAATTGTGTGTCCCATTGTACAATTGTCTTTTTTTTTTTTTTTTGTGGAAAGCCACATAAAATAAAACCCTTTTTTTTATTTATCATTTTCACATAATATCATCATTCATCAGTAGAATGAAAAACTTAAAGTAGCATCTTTGAATAAGAGCAATTATTTGTACACTCCAACCAGCAAGAAAACAATCCCATGAATCCCGCCTCCCACGGTAGTGTGACGTCCCTTTCCCGTCTTTGTAATACTCTTAAAAACTCATCCGAGCTCAAACTCCCATCATGATTAGTGTCGAACACATAAAATATCATATCCACCACAGTCTCCGTGAGAGAGATACCACAAACCTTGCAACCAAACATACGAACTCTGTTAATATCAGTTATGAAATATGCTCAATTGACTGGAAAAAAATAAGTGCATAGTAAGTTTATTACATGATATGCAGCTCTTTGGAGATCAGGTTTTGTCAAGAGCCCATTCACTTTCCCATGACTGAAGATTGCGAGTGACAAGGGGCGTAACCTTTTACGAAGCTCTGCCAAATTCTTGAATTCTTCGAATGTAATGCGTATGTCTTTGAGATTTGGTTCATCGTTTAATTCTTCAACATGGTCAAGAAACTTGTTTACATGTCGCATGTCAGCAGATGCAACCATTGACAACGCAAAATCTTTAGCAGATATGGTTCCTTGTGACTCGTAGTCATAATGGGCAAACTCCAATCGCAATATCTACAAAAGTGTAAAAGATATAGATTATAATTACTAGAGGTGTGCGAAATATAAAATAACAGTTATTTAAGGGTATGTTTGATTAGTAGAATTATAGCACAGGATTGGGTTTGTTAATCCATGGACTCACAATCCTATGTTTGATTGTAAATTTTTTAACTGGATTACATGTACGGCGGATATTCAATTTGATGAAAATGGAAAATTTTTAATATTGAGAGGAATTGGGAATCATAATTTCAACTATGAAAGAAAAATAAAAATAAAATGAATACATAATAAATGATTATCTTACTAATTTAATTAGATAACTAATCCTACACTAATTTATAAGATTATTAATCCTTTCACTATTAATCCTTAAGGAATTAGTTTTGATAACTGTAGTTAATTGAAGCAGTTGGATCTAAGAGAATTAAAGCAGTTTAGAGTAGTTAGTAAGGTCTAAAAAGTGTAACAGTTTATACTAACACATGCGTAAACTTTATATAATAGTATAGATTATTAACATGAAGTATCAAAAAAAGTTATATGAACACTACCGAGTGAGATAAAGAAGTAAATGACTTATTTTCACCATGCCACACATATTAACTGGAACCCCGAAAAATATGAGAGAGAAAGAGAGAGAGAGAGAGAGAGAGAGAGAGAATTGCTTGACTTACTTCATCATGCAAGTCTCTCAAAAACTGGACAAATTTCCCATGTTCTAGGCATTGCTTGCCATCTTTTCCAAAGAAGTACTCCAGAAGATCCCCATCTTCTACAGAACCTGAAACTTTTAGTCCAATACGAAGCCCATCTCTGTGGCGAGCCCCTTGTCTGTTATTTGTTCGCATCAAGGTCATCACCTTCTTAAATTCATCCTTGTCTATCTCTCTGTTTATTCAGGTAAACAAGATGAGAACTTGAAAATCCATACAAAATATTAGCAGAAGATATCATTCTATGAGTTTCAACAAAAAAATACAAACTATTTTACTAGATATAGAGGAAGGTATAAACAAATTGAACAATCATTTGCTCGCTTCGTTATAAATAAAAAATAAATAAACCAATGAACTTAGACTTATGATGCCCTATGATGCTTAAATTTAGTAAACGAAAATACTCATACAGAAGATATTTGACAGTCACTTGTGTTGCTTTTCTTGTTCTAGCATATGATACAATTAAAAATATCAAATGTCTATAAAAACAAAAGTTCTAAAAAAAAAAAACAAAAACATTGTTATATTTATATAAAATTACAAATTATTATTATTATTTTTTTTGATCGGCAAAATGAAAACTTTATTGATGCAAACCAAACAAAGTAAGGAGGGTACAACAATAAAGAGGAGCTTGGAGCTAAGCGAAGCTCCGACCTCCTAGTTGGTGAGAAACCAACAGATAAAGTAAAAACCTACAGATCAGATCAAGCAAACCAAAACAAAACCAGAAAATCAGTGCAGTCCACTCAGCTCCTGGCTCAAATAAACAGACCAAACAGACCTACACTCCTATGCATAGCAAACCCAGAACTACACTACAGCAACACAGCAAAATGGACTGCATCCATACAAAGCCATGACTGGGAAACCAGACTTCACCCTAGTTAGCACACCCCTCAGCACCAAAACCAATCCAACATATCAGCACCAGATTTGACAGCAAAGCTGCAGAAGATCACTTCAGCGCAACATAACAGCAGCATATCAGAAATTCACTTCAGAACTTAGCACCACAGAACACAGACTATAAACTCAGACTATTGCTGTGTCATGACAGTCTTAAACCCCAATTTCCTTCCTACTCTAGTGCTATCACCACTTAATCTATTTTCAGAGCTGCACCCGGCACAATTTCTACTATCAACTCCCTGCAAGAGCCTAGCAAAGACTAACAGAAGACAGCACCAAGGGAGGACCACTTCAAAGAACAACAACCATTACACAGAAAACAATCTGCCTACTTATTGACGCACTGCCTAATCTGGTATAGGTTTGAGACAAGATCGTGGGCTGAGTAATCAAGTTATTAATCAATACAAGGTCATACCTCTTCATAGCCTAGTGATTCTCTTTCAGTAGTTTGTAGTCATCCGATGACTGTTATAATTTCTTAAACAAATACCCAAAATAAGTAATCCATATCAGAAGCTTCTGGGTCAGTTTGGATTTTGTTCTTCTCAGGAACATAACAAACACTCTACACATGAACTCTACTCGGAATAGTTTTGTGTTTGATGATTAAATCTACATGAAAAAAATGAGAAAACTACACTTCTTGAATTATTTAATCAATACCAGAACCACAGAGATAAGAAAAGAAATTAGATGAAAGCAGAAAAAGAGAAGAACAAATGGACATATTTCAAGGTAAAACAACACCAAGTAGTGATATTGATTGTTCGGAAAACTACTAGATTCCTTAGTGGATGATGAACACACATTAGATTTAGACTTTAGACCTACCCGTTGTTGTTGAGGTCAAACATTTTAAATGCCACAGAAAAGCTTGATTCTGGGATGCTGAGTAGTGTAACAAGAAAAACATACCTGTTACAGAAAAAATAGAAAAAAATAAAACTTTAATGAACCCTTTTATGTAGATATTATTAGGTTTTGTAATTAGTAATCTCATTTGACAAAATTCCTTTCAATTGTAATTTTATTCGCACTTTTGTTTCAGTGAGGCTATGAATGTTTAGATGCAAATCCAACGCGAATTGTGCCTATGTAGAGGAGTTTGTGCTGCCATTCCGTATCTTGAGCAATCCTTGTTTGTCAAGCACAAATGGAGTCAAAAGTTGTTTGACCGCTCAAGCGGTCATTTGTGCACACGAGTGGTGAGGTGAACCATCTAGTATTTTTGCCTGGAAACTGAACTTCTAGGAAATATTTTTCTTTGCATGAGCGGTGAAGTGTGCACTCAAGCGGTTTGCACTGCCTTTTAGTAACACCGCTCGAGCAATGAAGTGTCTGCTCGAGCTGTCTTCGTGACTTTGTTTTCTATAAAGTGCGCCATTTGCTGTTTTTAAGGTTTAACCTGTACAGATTCTTAGAAAGGAAAAGAAAATAAATTGTTTCTTATTGGAGGGTGTTTTATATGAGTTTCTTTTGTATAAAAGGTGATAGATTGATCAACAAATTACAGATTGTCAAATATCAAGCGTTGTTCTTATTTTTTCATTCACAAAATAGAGCAGTGTTCTTCGGTGGATTCTAGGGAATTTGAGCCTGAAGCTTTGGTGGGTTCTGGAGTGGCTCATCGTCGTGAATTCGACATCAGTGTTGTGTATTCAACGTTAGGCAAGACAATTCTGGAGTGAAGATGGTGGTGGAAGAGACACATCAGGATTGGTCCAATTCGGGCATAGATTCGCTAGGTAATAGAGAGTACTCGTATGTAAATTTCTTTTTCTTTTTCTTTTTGTCTTCTTAATAGATTTTTTTGACTTTCGGCCATGATTTTTTTATTACAATTGGAGGTGCTCCAATTGTGATTTTTTTTCATGTTAAATCATTTTATCGATTTGTTATTGATTGTTTGATTGAGATTGATATCTTGAAAGTTTTAGATTTTTCAGATATTTACAAGCAATATCGATAACAAAATTGTAACTCACTCTGCAAATGATATAAATCCATCATTGTCGGTATCAAAAAGCATAAAAAGTATTGAAGGAGCACAATGTAACTCGCTAGGAATCCATTTCCCTTTGAGATATCCCTCTCTAATGTAATTTGATTCAGAGGGAGGAAATACAGGGACAACTGCATGCATCAAGTCTGCCGGCGTCATAAGTACCTCCCCACTTGGGGTTCGGATTGAGGCAAAGTACTGAAAAACCTGAAACAATAAAAACCAAAAAATATAGCAAACATTAAAGTTAATAATGGTCCTAGAAGCAAAAAAGTGGTTTCTAACCAGTAACTACAATGAACTCACACATACTTCATGTATAACTTGAATCTCTAGGTTTATGATGATGGGAATAATTAAAGAATGTAGTTAACAACCATAGCTAACAACTAGAGAAGACTATATTGGCGTTACTAAGGCACATTTAGGCTCCCATTGGATAAATGAATTTGAGGTTGAATTTATAAAATTATTGAAGCTAGAGTAAAAACTTCAAAGTGGGGTATTGAATAGAGCTGTGAGAGATGTTTTTTTGTTAAGATCCTTGTACAAGTAGAATCTTTATGGAAGGATTTCAAATAAGTATTTTCACCAGTTATTTGAAACCTATCATTATAAAGTTCACAAATCCATTCTTGATATCTAATTCTGAAAATATGACATTGAACTAAATTTACACTCCTCAAATTATTGATATCAAACCTACTAATTTCAAATCCATAAATCCAAAAGAGCCGTAAGGTGCTTAATTGTTCCCTCACCAAGATGGCACGCACCACAAGTGACACATTCTTTGATATCCTAAAAGCACTTCTTCAATTATGTGTAAACATATTAATTGTCCCTCTTCCTTCTACTAAGAAGGCTATTGGTTGTAAGTGGGTTTTTCGAATCAAACGCAATAGTGATGGTTCTATTGCCCGATATAAAGCTCGGTTGGTTGCTAAGGGATTTTTACAGCAAGAGGGTCTTGATTATACTGAAACTTTTAGCCCTGTGGCTAAACATCCCACTATCCGGGTTTTGCTTTGTATGGCTTTACATTATCATTGGCCATTAAAGCAACTTGATATCAGCAATGCATTTCTTCATGGCACTTTGGATGAGGAAGTATATATGACTCAACCACCAGGTTTTGTTAGCTCTTCCTCTCCTTATCATGTCTGCAAGCTTCAGAAAGCTCTTTATGGCCTCAAACAGGCTCCTCGCGCTTGGTATTCTACTTTCTCCAAATTCTTATTATCCCACGGGTTTGTCAATAGTCATTGTGATAACTCTCTCTTTATTCACAAGACTTCCACTACCATAACAGTTCTTCTGGTGTATGTCGACGACATTTTACTTACTGGTAATAGTCCCTCTCATCTTCAAGCTCTCATTCACCAGATGCACTCTGCTTTTGCCATGAAAGAATTGGGTGATCTTTCTTATTTCTTGGGTATTTCTATTCAAGCAGTGGGTGACTCTTATTTTCTGTCTCAATCTAAATATGCCTCTGACATTCTTCTTAAAGCTGGAATGACCTCTTGTAAACCCTGTCCTACTCCTATGTCCATGAAACTTGTTGATACTCCTGCTGCCAATCTTCCTTTTCATCAGCCTCAGTTATACAGAAGTTTGGTGGGTGCTTTACAGTATCTCACTCTTACTCGTCCAGATCTGTCTTTTGCTGTCAATCAAGCTTGTCAATATATGCATGCACCTACTAATGCTCACTTTACTCTGCTTAAACGCATTCTTCGGTTTGTTCAGAGTTCCCTTTCTCATGGCTTGACTTTTCATCCTAGTTCGTTTGAGCTTCAGGCCTTTTCTGATTCAAATTGGGCTGGTGACACTGTTGATCGCAAATCTACCTCTGGCTACTGTGTTTTCCTCGGTTCTAACATCATCTCTTGGTCTGCTAAAAAGCAGCCTACTGTGTCCCGATCCAGCACCGAAGCCGAGTATCGTTCTCTTGCTCATGCTACGGCTGAACTTAGTTGGTTACAAATGCTTCTTCATGATCTTTCTCTCCCTATTGTCACCACTCCCATTCTTTGGTGTGACAACTTATCTGCCATTGCCTTAGCCTCCAATCCGGTGTTTCACACACGGTCCAAACATATCGAAGTTGATTGTCACTTCATTCGTGACAAAATTGCTTCCAAGAAGCTTCTTCTTTACTACATACCCTCTGCTGAGCAAATTGCAGATATCTTCACCAAACCACTGTCTGTTGCTCGATTTCTTTACCTTCAGTCCAAGCTGCTGGTCACTTCTCCTCCCATCCGCTTGCCGGGGGATGATAAGATTCTCTCTGCATCAGATGGCTCTGCAGCAAGCTCAAGCTCAAGACCTCAAGATAGTTAGTTCAGTAGTTAGTTTGTTTAGTTAGTTCAGTAGTTAGTTTGTTGAACCCAGGTTAGTTAGTAATTAGAGTTTGTTAACTCAAAGTTAGTTAGAGTTTGTTATAGTTTGTTAGAAGTTTGTTACATGATATCTGTATAAATATACAATGTATCTGATCATAAAGTATATATAAAAGATTCAATTGTTCTTCAGACATGCATAAAATTTTTGTATGTTCCAATATGCATTGTAAATTTAGTCTACTGACTGTCGAATAACAGTAATAATAAATAAATAAAAACTTTCAGCGTTTTCATTGGCAGTTTAAAAGATCAGATATTTTTAGAAGTAAATTTTACCTAAATCATATTCATATACACTGCTTTGGTCCATAGCTATAACAATGGAGTGTATGTTTAGTGAAGAAACGTACCTTTTCAGTAGGACTTCATGTTCTTATGCGTTATTCATACTTAAAGAAAACCTTTCTCCTATATGCATCTAAAAATACAAACAAAACCAATACTAGAAAGTGTTATCCAGGTGCAAATAAAGAGAGCATCACAATTGAACACATATACTAGCTAAACAAAGTGAAACCATGTCCAGAAATATGTTGTGCTTGACTTTGCATTTTTCTTATGTGTTTTTTCAAACAAATAAAGAAAACATTTTCATATGTGCATTACAAATTACAAACAAGACCAGTTGTTCTATGAAGGGTTGGCCTTATACAACTAGACAGAAATAATTGAACAAACCAAACCAAACCAAACCAAACCAAACCAAGCCTTAAGGCCTCGTTTGGGAACAAGCTACTTTAGTAACTTTTTGGCTTTTTCGCTAAAATATGAGATTAAAAAAAAAAAATAGTATGTTTGGAATAACTTTTTGATTTTTTATGAAAAGATGTGCAAAAAGTAGGGAGGAGAGAGAGTCTTTGATTTCTTAGTATAGGTTATAGGTTTTTTGATTTTTTTGGTAACTTTTTGACTTTTAAGATAAAACAATAACATGCCAAACGAGGCCTAAGTCCCATCAAATGAAGTGGGCTACATGAATCTTTCTTCTCCACTCGGCTCTATCAAATGCCATTTCGTTAGTTAAATTAAATAGATTTATATATCTATTTATTACGCTAGCCAACATCAATCTATGTCTACCCCGACCCCTAACACTAAAAAAAGTGATCAATGTTCAGATATCTGTTTTGTGTTTGACCAAGACCAAATGTTGAAATGCAGCCTCAAACTTGACCACTCTCAACCTACTATGAAATTTTAAGTCAAAAAGTTAAAATCTAACTTTTCATCCTAATCCAATTGATATATGACTCTTCAAGCATAAACTAAACTATGGTGAATAACTTCAAGAACCTCAGGTTGAAGGACACCTTGGAGTGATACAAAACAATTAAATTTAAGTTCAAATTAGATTTTACTGATTTCAAATAAATCCCCCCAAAACAATTTAAATATTACATAAACACGAACATAGCCAATCTAACTCTGTCAGTAGACAGGTTAAAGTTAGGGAATAAATATGAAAATTCACTTTAAAAATTGCACTTTTTAATCCCTACAACATATTGTAGACGTCCCCTAATGCCCCAGGAGGGTGAGGTCCCGTTCCGTTCATTTTGCGGGTCTACTACAGTTCGGACTCAAATTGTCACAGTTCTTAATCTGGACCAAAGAGTCTAAATCTGGAAAATCGTTTTGAGAAAACAGATTTTTAGAAAAAGAAGTGCCAAACATGGACTACTTTGCTAGATACAGAGTCGCCACGTAAATATTTTATTTTGGGAAATTTAGGAAACCCTGACTCGGTGCCAAAGGCCACGTGTCCGTCATCACCAAAGTTGCCTCGGCTCGGGAACTTGGGTACGATTAGGGAAGGTCAGCTATGAGCACCCCCTCTCGCCCGATCAAAGAACGGCCTCTACTAACCGTGATATCTTGTTTTGAAAGCATTATGTGTTCTTATTCCAGTTATTAGCCTAGAATTACTATGTTATGCGCACAGCAAACAAGTATAGACCAAATCGCCTAAATTGGAACAAAACATTTCATGTTTGTTTTGAAAATGGTTTGCTACTCGCAAGTAGGCTAAAATGCAGGTTTTGCCACCCTCAAGTGGGCTTTTAGAAAAGATGGTTTTGCCACTATCTAGTGGGCTTAAAATTCACAGTTTTAATAAGTTATCCCAATTTAAGCAATTCGACCTCCATCCACAGGCATTCAAGCAGTTATATCACAAAAGCAGCTAGCCTCATGGTAATCATGCAATTATGGAAACACTCACACGCATGCGGCATGCTAAAGCATAAAAGCTCACCTAGTACTCCAAGCCAAAACAGAAACTAGTTAGCAAACATGCATGACCTTGGTCCATGTTAAGTGGCTAATGCATCGCATATAGAATGCAATTAGGTTAGGCTCGGCTAATCCTAAAATGACATGTGAAAATGCACAAGTAGCATGTATTCAAGTTAGATTTGAAATACTTATGCAGTTAGTATGATGCGCCGAGCCCGGTGCATGCAAGATAAATGTATGGATGCACGCATGCATAGCATAAGGTATGCTAAATTAAACATGTCCTAATACTAACCATCAAAAGTAGGTAAGTAAAAGGGAGAAAGAAGTGGGGGTTGGAAAACATGCACACACTCACCCACACTTATTACAGATTCGCCCTCGCTCGGAGGGACGAAAATAATAATACAATTCGAATAATGAATTAACTATCCTAGCTAATTAATTATTACAGACCAACTAAATTAATTAAACAAATTAACTAATTTAAGAAAGCAAGAAAAAGGGCCTCGGGAAGAGGGCTCAATGCGCGCGTGCTCGGGTCTTGCTCGGAAGTCCACTGCCATGCGTAGGCTGCCTCTGTTTTCCCTGCTCTGCTTCTCTAAAGACTGCCAAAGTCTCAGGATGTGGTCACTGGATGTTGGGGAATGCCACCGGCTGGAGGGAATCATCATCGGCTGTGATTTAGTGGCTATCGGCCAAAAATGAATCCATCGGCCATCGAGGGATTGCCGGTCGGCACTCTACGCAGTCGATCGGCAGAAAGTTCCTGCAGAATCTGTTTGACAGCAGCAGAGGACAGAGCTTTGCATGGCAATGTAATTCAAGCAATGTATGCACCAACCATATCCCTTATCATGTTTATGACTCAAAGGGACATGGTCCTTGGTTCTCGGACCACCAATCGCGCATTTCAATGCGTGATGGCCCAAGTGACCAAGTTGTACATTTTCATTTCAAATACCATGCAATGCACATAAACAAACAAATTGAACTCAACCTCTATCACAAGCAATTCAAGAGGCCAAGCGTGCATGCTAGTGCAATATAACCTAAACATGTGAGCCTAAGTGTGTAACATGGAGATGCAATGCACAATGCTCACTAGGCATGCAATCCATGCAAGCTAATCAAGCATGCAATGTGCGACTCAACCATGCGAACATGCAAGTCATACAAATATGCTAACAACTTGACCAAGGGGATGCATGCCCAATACAAGTGATTTTAAGCATGCAACACATGCAACCAAAGCATGCAACCATGGAATGATGTAATGACATTTGAATGGCATGCAAGGGAGGGGCTTACACTAATTGGACAACCCTAAACTAGGTCCAAAGCAGTAGCCAATGTTATGGAAATGAGGGCCAACACACACACACAAATGCACATGTTAAGGGGCCAACACTTAAGCATCAAACATACAACCTTTAAGCACACTTGAAAGTGACTAAACATGGACTAATGGCATGCACATGAAGCTCTGAAAATCATGTTATAGGGGTGCCAAACCAAGGAAATAAGGCAAGCCAAACATGCAACAATGGTCCAAGATTCAAGGCAAGCTAAAGGGGTGTTGGACCACACTTAGCAAGACCAAACATGGCATGAATCTAATGACCCAAAACAGAGTTTTAGCACATAAAACAAAGCCCAAAAGACCACTTAGATGGCATCTAAATGACTTGAATTCAAAGGCATGCACAATGACTAAACATAGAGCATAAGGCACAACCTTTTGACACAACAAAGGGACCATGAAATACAAGCATGCAAACATACTAAGTGGACTAAAATGGCATGGAAAATGGTCCTAACCCACTAAATCAAAGCAGGTAATGCATGCTACACACTCACACACTTAAGGCCAACGAGCCAAAATGCAAAAGGGCTATGCAATGCATGCTAAAGTCGACCCAAACAACCAAGGACAGACCTTAAACATGGAAAAATAAACACAAAAGCTTCACAAAGCTAGGCCTAGAACATGCTCGAACAAGGGTTAAAACCTAGATGCATGTTAAGGAAACAAAATGGCATTACAAGGCATGTATGCTAAGCAAGCATGGTGTACCAAAACCAACTAAAAGCAGAGGCATATTATGACATAATAAGCACAAAAATCAGCTAAGGCATGGTCAACATGAACCTAAACATGGTGCTCCCTCAAGAGGCCAAAAATGGTCCTTTTTAAGGACAACAAGGAGAGGGGGTGGGCCTCTCCTTCCAAGGACTTCAAGGCACCATCCTCACCTCTGAAATCCCTCAAGGTTTCAGTGGTGAGGAGGCCCAAACTCAATGGTTCCGGAGCTCACACAAATTTGCACAAAAAAGAACCTTACAAGGCTCAAGAGGGGTCGAGCAACCTCAAATCACAAAACACTCTTAACAAACTATTTAGAGGGCCTAAAACAGAACTTTTATATGTTATGGACAAAGCTCAAAGACAGTTGCAAGGTAGTCAAAAATACAATGCAGGAAAGGGGTAAAAAGGGGCAAAATTATTACCCTTGAAGACTTTCTTCACAAATGAAGCTCCAGCAGCTTCTTTAGGTTAAAACCAGCACAAGGACCTCAAGAACACTCCTTTGGCTCCTCAGCAACCAAGGCAAGGTGTAGAACTAGGTGTGCTAGTGCAAAACTAAGAACTTAAACACACACAAAGTGAAAGAGAGGGAGAAATAGAGATAGAATACACACACTTCTAACCCTAGAATTCAAGCTCTCTGAAAAAAATGTCCAACCCTAAATCCAAGAGAGGAGACTCTCTTATAGAGCTCTCTCTTGTAAAGCTTGTCCAATAAGCTTGTTAAGAGAGAGATCCCTCCATACACGTGTATGGAGGGGAGAAAAGGTGGGTGCCAGCTATCACAGCTGGCACAAAATATATACCAAATGTAGATGAACAGTGATCGGCCATTCAAAATTGCCATTTTGGCAAAATAAATGGCCAACCGGCAACAAAGAGTGCCAACCGGCAACATACATGGCCGATGGCATAAAATCACTGGCCGGTGGCCTCAAGCCATGGCCGGTGATATGTGGGGATGCCTCACAAGGCATTCCCTGCCCCTCCAAGGCAAAACACAAGTGTTTGGTGCAAAACCAGACACAACACGGTCGAGTCGAGAGGTCCTGAGGCAAGGCGCGCAACCGAGACCTCCGGGAACTCAAGACGAACACAAACAAGGGTAATCACCAAGTGTTCCAATGGTGACGTCCAAGTCTTGAGGACAGTCAAAAATGGGGTGTCTACAGTTGCCCCTCTTTAACAGAACTCGAAAGTCATAACAATGACGGAAGTGAATGTCAAAGCCCAGAGACGACCCATTTTTGACAAGGCCGAAGACTTAGACAGACATGCAAGACAAGCAGGATATGTGCCCGAAGGCAGGGGCAAAATGCAAGACAATGCACAAAGCCGAACATGACTTATGATCATGTAAAGAAAGCTGTAACGATGCCCAACATGCAACAGTTTTAAGCTAACACAGACCAAACTACACTACAATGCAGAGAGGATGTAAGAGAATTATACGATTCTCGATATGTCTCACTCGGAGTATACCATACCTGTCCGGTTCGTCGGGTTGCACCAGCCTTTAAATGAACCGTACATACAATATCGTGCCTGCAAAGAAAACAAACTTAACAGGTACAATGTGATTAACACATGCATATTAATGTACTTAAAAATGCGTGACAACGTAAAGCAAGTGGGAAGCATAACAATGCTGCGAGGGCACAGTCATGTAAGTGGAGTACGCGGTCTATGCAGGCAACGAAATTGATCATAAGCATGCGGTCTACACAAGCAATGAAATTGGTTTCAAACGTGCGGTCTACGCAAGTAGAACATGCGGTCTACGCAAGTAATGAATTTGAACATAAGAATGCGGTCTACGCAAGCACAACATGCGGTCTACGCAAGTAATGAAATTGATTATAAACATGCGGTCTACGCAAGCAAAACATGCGGTTTACGCAAGCAAAAACATGAGGTCTACGCAAGTAATGGAATTGATTATAAACATGCGGTCTACGCAAGCAAAACATGCGGTCTACGCAAGTAATGGAATTGATTATAAATATGCGGTCTACGCAAGCAAAACATGCGGTCTACGCAAGTAATGAAATTGATTATAAACATGCGGTCTACGCAAGCAAAACATGCGGTCTACGCAAGTAATGGAATTGATTATAAACATGCGGTCTACGCAAGTAAAACATGCGGTCTACGCAAGTAATGAAATTGATCACAAACATGCATGACAATGCAAAAATGAATGTAAAATGATATGCAATATATACAAAACTATGTATGAACAATGCAAATAAAAATGCAATGCAATTGAATCATGATCCAATCATGAGCGGTTCAAAACCACACCTATGTCAAATAGATTGATGGAGGTAACATGTCCGTCTACCATAGAACGGTCAACAGAACTATGAGTAACGTAGACGAACACAAGAACAAGTATTGGAGGGAACGACAAAGGTGGGGAAACGACCCACTGGGGAAAGGACAACGATCCTAATGTTGGATGCAACAATTACACTACAATGTAATATATAATGAAAACGCTGGGGAAATGGCAATGGACATGGCACGCGGGCCAAACCACATCTTGCCTAGGCAAAGCATGTACGCATACAAGCCACGTCTAACATAGAACGGTCCACTGAACTATGCTTTGACACGAGAAGTATGGGCACATACCGGACCAAGCTCAACACAGAAAGGCGCAAGCCATAGATGGAAGGTGATGCAGTGAATGCATGCAAGCTACAATGCAACATTTACAAATATGCAATGGATGGGTGTAAATGTAATATTTGCAGTAAGATGCATGACATGTGCATTATTTACGGTGGTATGCATGCCATATGCACTATTTACAATGAATGCATGACATATGCACTATTGAACAATGATGCATGACATATGTACTATTTACAACGATGCATGACATATGCAGTATCTACAACGATGCATGACATATGCAGTATTGCTTTTTTGAAATGCGCGACAGCGCGCGACGTAGGACGCATGATAATACATGAACTTTAAATGCGCGGCATCGCGCGGTTATTGATATACATGACCATGTAAGTGGGCTGTGCACATTAATACACTAAAGGTCTTGCACCTTCCGAGGATTTAAGGTCTCCTAGACCGTCGTATGTACAGGACGGTGTGATGCACAAAATAGTGCGATTGAATGCATGCAAAACGCAATAAGATGCGCAAGACAGCGCGATGCGTTAGGCAACGCGAGTGCACAAGACAGCGCAATTGATTCGAAATGCACAAGACAACGCGATCGGCATGTGACGCACATGGGGCAACTTTTGAGTTTTGCAAAAGCCAAAAGGATACGGAAAGGATACACCTTGCACGAATTCGAGTGCCATGCACAGAAGACACGATCCAAGGTCAAAACGGAGGCCGGTTGAGCGTCGGAAATGCACTATTTTGAGCACTGTTTTGAGCACTAAAGGCCATGGACCACACATATAACCCAAACAAGGCTGTGGGAGGATCAAAGACCACTGTAGGAGACCACCGGATGTCCACCGGCCATCAGAATACACCACCGGCCGTCCATCGGCCATCATACAATGCCATCGGCACAATCTATAGCCGATCGGCAAAGAGTCCCTGTATCCGGGGCAGTTCAGTCATTTGGCCACGGGTCTTTTAAAATAGGGCTCTTGCTCGAAATTTCTCCCCCTCTCTCTCTAGATCATTTTCCTCCTTTGATTTCCTCGTTTTCTTGTGTTCTAGCCTCCATTTCGTCGTCCGATTCGCGAATACCTTCGCGTTTCGAACGTTTTCAACCGAACGAAACTTCATTTCGGTGTCTCATTTTTGATTTCCGCCACTCGGGGCTTGTTTCCCTCGAGTTTTTCTTGATATCTGTGCCTTTTTCGGCCCTCTCGGGGTTGACTTTTTATTGACTCTTCACATTCTCGCTCGATTTTCCATCTTCCGGCCACTTTCTCATTTTCTTCGAGATGGCGGACGATCTTCCACAGGACGGGACCCCTCCAGAGCTCGAGATGGATCCCGAGGCCGACCCCTTGCCACGTCATATCCGGCCATTCGATCCGGAGACCTACAGACCTGCGGTTCATGTGATGCTCCCCGATGGACTACGCTAATTCCAAAGCTTCGAGAGGGGCATGGCACCCGAGCTTCTCCTGCGTGAGCCTACCTCCCATCTGTCCTTCGGCGCTTCCGAGGTAACCTTCTTTCTTCTGTTTTATTATTTTCCGTAATATAGAACATAACTGCCATTAGTTGATTCTGTTCTCTAACTGCTTAGCCCGGATGCACCGATACAGTGTACACCGTAGTTGATTGCAAACAAACTTACAACCGATATCTGTTTGAAACTTACATGTGCACACACACTGCACTGACCCTGAATCACCCAAACACATGGCGCACACTGTTATTTCACTGCATACACACTGGTACCCGGTATCTGCTTGAGTCTGAAAACATGCACACATGCTGTATTTGCCCTGAACCACTCAAACACGCTGACACATCACACGTTGTAGTTCACTGTAAGTACACCGGCACCCGATGTCTGTTCGAATTTGAAAACATGCACAAATGCTGTATACCTGTATGCTTCTTAAAACTGCATTTTGAACATTGCCTTGCAATTGTTGTTTTTGATTACAGGGGGATTCCCATACCATCCGCGGGTATGGGAATATCGTCGCTCGGGATTGGTACATAGAGCTGCCAGACGCGGTTCGTCATATCGTCGACGAGGCCGGTTTTGGCATCTTCTGCAGGGGGCTCTCCCGGCTTACAACTTGCAGGCCCTTGCTTACCGCTTTAGTGGAGAGGTGGTGGGATACCACCAACTCCTTCCACTTCTCCATCGCGGGGGACATGATGATGACCCCTTATGATTTCTCGATGCTCACCGGTATCGGGGTAGGGGGTGATCCGATCCCCTTCGACACTGATATGGATGAGTAGGACGCCGCCTAGCTGTACCTGCTCGGCACCCAGCCTCCCCTCGCTTGAGCAGGGTTTGTCAGGTACTCTTGGTTCGAGAGCCATTTTCGGATTCAGCCGGCCTTGGCGGAGGAGGCGCTGATGACCCCGGAGGAGGTGGATCAGTACGCACGGGGTTTCATCATGTTTCTACTCGGGACAACCCTTTTCGCCGACCGGGCGAACACCGTGCCTCTATGTCTGTTGAGCGCACTGGTGGATGCCAGGCGGATCCGCCGTTATGACTGGGGTGGCGCAGGTTGGCCACATTGTATGGTTACATGAGCTCTTCTTCCCGCCTCAGCGGACAGCTTCTTGGTGGCTACTGGCGAGCTTGGGAGGTACATCTTCTTCCCCTTTTACATTTCAGCTTTCTGCTTTCTGTACTCTGTACACTGCACACACTGTACACTGCCCCACTGTATATTGCACACACGGCACACATATATTCTGCTTTTTACTGACTGCACACTGCACACACTGTACATTCTGCACAATACACTGCACAACACACGGCTCTGCCATTTCTGCTTTATTCTGTATTTTGCCTTATCTGATAGTCATACTTATATATGTTCTGCAGTTGTGGGTGTATGCCGACTTTCCCAGGCTTGCCCCAGTACCTGATGTGGAGACCCCACTCGGCGTCCCCTTTTCTCATCGCTTTGATGTTCGATGCGTGCGGAGACCACGGGAGTCTTTTATTTTCTTCCGCCGTTACTTCGACACCATCACCGCCGCGGAGATATGTTCAACTTTAGAATTTGCTTAGGCTTCACTTAGCATTGTATTTTCGATAACAGATAGATAACAAACTGCATATTTACCCGCAGATCACCTGGCAGCCCTGGGCTCCGTTGCCGGCTAGGGTGAGAGACCACTATGAGGGTGCTGATGAGACGGCCCGCCTCAAGATTCTGTTGGAGGGCCCGGTCTGTCGGACTTGGTACCTGGGTGAGCGTTTCCTGCGCCAGACCCTAGGTTTACTGGAGCAGATAGTTCCGAGTCCGCCCCCTACACATATGAGGCATGCAGAGGAGTTCTCCCTTGAGCACATGAGGGAATACACCATCGGCTGGGGTGCGGAGTGCCACAGAGGCGAGGGCGACTATGCCGAGTACGTCCGGACCTACATTATGCGACCCCTGGGCAGTGGCCGCCGAGCTGAGAGAGGGGGACCTGCGGCGCCAGTAGCTGGAGTGGGAGCGGGGGTAGGGACGTCGAGGACGGCTCGTGTCCGTGGCAGGAGCGGAGCTCGGAGGGGTCAGGGGACCAGCTGGCCTGCTCTGCCCACTTTACTGACATACAGAGGGCAGGATGGGGTGACCTACTAGATCCCTTTCGCTCCTCCCTCGGCTGATCATGAGTTAGCTGGTATCCCCGACTTGCCTCCGGTATGCATTACTTCATTTTGCATCTTGCCTTGGCATTTCGTTTTAGTTTATTTGATATTGCGCGGAATACTGATATATCTTATACTCTTGCAGGCGTCCTCCGAGTACACTCGACAGTCCGTGGAGTTGAATGCCTCCATGATGGGGATGCTACAGCGGACCTTCGACCTCCTGGCCCTCTATAGTATTCCGGTATGTCCTTCTGACGATGGTCTCAAACCATTCATAAGCTGATTCGCGTAATCTGATGCACGGCACAACACTTGACATACTGATCTCACAGCATCTGATACACTGCATACACTGCATTTATACACTGCATTCTGCACTTGATAAACTGCTCACGGCGTTCACACACTGTACTCATACACTGCATTCTGCACTGATAAACTGCTCATGGCATTCGCACACTCTATTCATACACTGCATTCTGCACTGATAAACTGCTCACGACATTCGCACACTGTATTCATACACTGCGTCCTGCACTGATAAACTGCTCACAGTATTCTGATGTATTTGCCTTTTATGCTTTTCAGCCTCCCGTCCAGATTCCTCCGGTCGGTGGTGCTCCGGCTGGGCCATTTATTCCTGCTCGAGGAGGGCGTGGAGACGCTGTACGTCGCGGTACCAGGGTGGGGCGTGTTCATGTCGGGAGTAGCTCTCGGGTGCCGACCCCTGATGATGACGATGATGCGTCCGAGGTAAAAGCAGAGGCAGAGGCCGGGTCATCTGAGGAGGCTAGAGACGACTCAGACTCAGACTCAGACTCAGGCTCAGATGGCGACGCTGATGACGATGCCCCTGGACCTTCGTCCAGGAAGAGGGCGAGGACAGATCCTCGGGCCCGAGACTACTGATGATGATCCAGATTGCTGCTTTTCTTCTGTTTTTTGTACTTTCTTTTTTTCTTCTCTTTGCTGGTAGTTAGATTACCTTGTACTGCCGCAGGCAGATTTTTGTTTTCAAAGCTATGTACTTGAAAAAGATAATGAAATGAACAAACTTTTTGTTTAAAAAGTGTTACATTTGTATATCTCATACATTGCATTGCGATACATCATGCTACACCTCAATGTGGATAGAATTAACCCGTTGTCTGAAAATCGAGCATTTGTACTGTAATGATCCAATAACCAAACGGCCTCATAACAAAACAGCCCAAGCAACACACTGCTCAGACTGAACGCACAGCCCATACTCTGTTGGGAATTAGCCTGCATACAGCTCATAACACCACACCCGGTTCATTCTGCACACCGCAAATCCTGAACAAACGGCCCAATCTGACAAGACGGAACACAAAGATGGAACAAGTTGAAGTTGAAGCACGCCCAGATGCCCCGAATTGTTTTCTTTTGCTTCGCACAAATGTAGAGAATGGCACAACACTCTGAGCATAAAGGATTTTCAACCGGGGTATCGAGCCTACAACTGAACAGAGCAGGAAGGACTCAAACAAAAGGGTACACGACCTAAACACAACGAGACACGCTCAGAAAAAGACCCAAAACAAAAGTTGAGGTGAACAAAATGAAAGACACGACACGCGAACATGTTCAACGAAAGACCTCAAATCTCGAGGAGCCAGTTCCTCTGGGTATATTTCCCACCCTTTCTGATTTGTGATTCTCACATCTCTCGGCTTTCAGGCTCGGTTTTTTCCTCTCAAAATCCCTTTTTCTTACTTTTCTCTCAACTTACACCTCTCTATTCTTTATTCTCTCATTTTTCGTCTCTCCCCAAGGTGATTGATGAATGAATAGAAAGTTGCGGGTTCATGCCCAACGCCGTTAGCTCATAGCTATTTCTTCTGGTGGGTAGAGTGCCCTCCTGGCAAGTATGTTGACGACGGGGGAAAGACAGAACGCCCGACTCAACTGTGCCCCTACTTCGTCGTTTTGACCATTTTTTGTTTTGGTTTTCTACTAAAACAGTTTTGATCAAGATGAGAGTTGGATTAACGTGCTTGTTCAATTTTTGATTTGAAAATCACGCAAGTCAGGCTGTAAGCACTAAAAATTTTCCTTTTTCGGGTCCAAGAAAAGGTCGGGTTTTGGAAAATGGAATAGTTTTCGAGAAAATAGTCAACCTTAGTAAAAATTTTCAAAAACCGTTTTTGCAAACGGCCACTGCTTAACGAGCATAGAACCCACTCTCGAGATGCACAACCTCAGATTCGAAGGAAAATTGCCCCTTGTTAGAGGGGAGCTGCATGGCAACGGAAAGTTGCCCCTTGTTTGAACGGCACCGCAGTGCATTGAATGGCAACAGAAAGTTGCCCCTTATTTGAATGACACCGCGGTGTATTGAATGGCAACGGAAAGTTGCCCCTTGTCTGAATGGTACCGTAGTGTATTGTAATCAGTCCTCAGAGCGATGATTGCAACCGAACTCCCGGATACAGAAAAGACAAAGATGACTAGAACCATCACATGGACACAGTTGAATTTGAAGTATTTTACGGCTGGACTTCAGAATGAAGTTGCCTACGTATCCCAAACATGGGAATCAAGCCTTACGTAGTTCCGGGGTAAGGTACACTCGGGTCTTATCTTCTCCTTTTTAGGCTCTAACTTTTGCCAAGGCGCCCGTTGCGGGTTTTCGACCTTGCGAGCTTTGTTCTTCTTTTCTTTTCAATTTTTTTCATTTCTTTTTCTCTTCTTTTTTTTTTTTTTTGTATTTTTTCTTTCTTTTTTCTTTTCTTTTGCATTTTTTTGCTTGCATTTTTTTGTATTTTTCTCTTGCTCTAACTTTTGCCTGGGTCGCCCTTCCGGGTTTTCGGCCCAACGAGCCTCTTAAAGGGTAAAAGTGTAACAAGTCCATGCCAAATGGTTTTAGGGTTTTGAAGCCATCCGTATCCAGGAGAGTGGCTGTTGTATTGATTTGCTGAAGGATCCATCTTCGGCTCTTCGAGCATATCTGACATTTTTCCCCCTAGTTTGAGGGGGGGCTTCTGATCTAGCTTTACAAGCTTCCTCTGATCTGATCTTCTTGATCTGACTTTGGTGTCTCTTGTTCGAGGGCTGCTTCAAAATGGCCACACAGGCCTCACATTGTGGTTGACCGTTGAACGTTCTGAACTCAGGTTCAAGGTTTGAAAGTGAGGGGTCGAATCTCGAGACTGAGAGCGGTCCTAAGCTGCACAATCTCAAGAGCGATCCCACACAAGCCTTCGTAGGACTGCGCAAAATATTTTTTGAAATTTTTTAAGAAAGCGACAAATCGCTCACGCCGAAGACAGTGTAGAACCAATATGGATCAAACCAGGGTCCTTCTCAGTACTCACGCTGACATGCATGATTTCAACCATTAAGGGCTTAGCACGCCTCTCTTTCTCTCAATTTGATCAAGGTTTGCAAAACCCGAGGAATTCCTTCCTCTTTGTTTTCACCACAGTGTTCAAAAAGTGTTGAAAAACTTAGGTCAGTGCAATGATTTTCAGGGCATAAGAGAACAGGTGGAGTGTACTGCCGTTCCATTCAAATCCTCTGGTACAACTAGCTCAAAATAGCAACAAGCATGGAAATATGATAGCCGCAGCTATTTCATTCAAATTTCCTTGTTGCAACTGGCTCCATGGCAGAGACAGACTCAAAAGGAAACAAAAAGATTAGATACAAAAACGGTGTTCGAGGCAACAACCCCGGAATCACCCGACATTCTATACAAAAGGGACTGACTCGCTACAACAAGACAGACCCATAAGCAAAAGGACTGACTCAAGACAACGAGACATACTCAAAACAAAAGAAAAGACTGAGTTGACACCCAAACCAGAATTTACAAACCTAGCATTCGCAGATGCTCCAAAAATGCATGCAAGACGCCACATCTAAAATACGCTGAGCGCCGCCCGCAGGTG